AATTTGTGTTTAACTGAAGGTAGAGGCGATTCCATACAGAGAAGCTCTCGAAAGGAATGATCATCGACTACAGAAGCTTCCCCCAAGTCAGAAGTCAGTTAGACCAAATAGGTTGGTCAGTGTAGTGTAGAAAAGGAGCTTACAAAAGGCGCTGCAGCAAAAGTGGGTTACAGTAGACGAAGCAGATTGTGTGTGTGCTCTGTGCCTCTGCTCATGGTTGCGGAACCCGGGAACGTCCTCCAGTCAATCAGTAAATTGGGTTCGCGTGTTGGATCAAGTTCTCACGGGGTCTCGCGGAAGTAGATGGACCTCTAGACGGGCGTAAGAGACCGGTGCATATGCACTCGTCGGCAGCGGTGAACCTTGGCACGTTCTTGCCTGTGTGGAGTGAGTCATGTGTAGCCCACAGAGCCGGCCAAGGGCTGCGGCGCAAAGTTTGACAACGAAAAAAACGTGTCAGCGCAGGGGCTGATCTCAGGACAGTCACAGGGCTTGCAGCCGGCTTAGTGCCTGGTTCGTTTTGAAAATCAAGTGTGCAAACTAGTTGTTAACTATGGGGTTGTGTGACAGCCTTTTTCCGAGATAAACAAAGTTTTTCCAAAGTTTTGAATCCGGTACTATTGAAATTTATTCGGGTAGCGCTTTGGGCAATGTTTGGCAACGGTTGGTGCACGGCGACCGTTTTTGTGTGTTTATTATCAATCGAAAATTAGCGCAAACGACGAGGAAGAGGCCCACGCTTCTTTGCATGTCATTTTCCTTCGGAGTGTTGAGGACACAGTAATTCGCGAGGAGCAGGATGTGGACCGTGACCGCAGACATACGCGTTCAGGCCTGTATAGGCCGGCTATTGTGAAGGTGTGCCTAATTTCTGTGGATCATGCAGACTTCTGAGCGCTCATCACGGTAGGCGTCCATCAGCATGGCATAGAACATGAGACTGAAGGGGGTGGGAGCGAGAACGCAGTCCTGCTTCATTCCACTGGCATTTGCGGAGGCTGCGGAGATTGCCCCGTTGTCAGTCACCTGCGTAATCATCCTTTCGCGGATCTGACGGCCAAAGTTTGCAAGGTTTTCCTTAGTCCATCGTCATTCACACTCTCAGAAACTTTTGTCAGATCCACGAAAACCATGTATAGGTGGGTTTGCATCTCCTGACACTTCTTTTATAGCTGTTGAGCGACAAAAATCGTATAGAGTTTTCGGCGGCGTCGTCGGAAGCTAGATTGGCTTCACGGGAAACGTCCCTGCTCTAGGTAGCCCATTTGATGATTGAGATAAATACGACAGAAGATCTTCCCGGCGATAGTGAGCAGCGAGACGTCCCAATGGTTATAATAGAGTTGTCGGTTCCCTTTTCGCTTGCGGAGTTGGACGATGGTCGCGTTCTTTAAATTCGGAGGAAACTATCCTTGATGTCACATCTCCAGGAATTTCGTTGTAAAATTCCCTATCAGACAGGAGTCACACCACTTATACACCTTCACCGGGATTGCATCAGATCCTGGTCCCCTCCCGTTAGAAATTTGTTGCACGACCCTTTTACATGTAAACAAGAAAGTTGGGACTAGTATTTTTGGACAGGCAGGGTTAAGTTGGCGGCTGGGGGTGGGCGCCAGCTTTAGTGAGCCATTTAGGTCTCGCATGTCTTGGCTGTACCTATGCAGTTGGCTCGTGGGTTTGTTGCTCGCGTATGTACGGCCACCAACGACGCGACCTTCCTAGCTTTCCAGATTAAAATGTGGTAACTGAGAGTAGTCATCGAAATGTCCTTGTAACGATGCTTTTGTGCACCTTGCCTGCGACTAACCACCGCTAGTTTTTTCCTTGGCTAGGTGCTCGTCATCCATTCCCACGAAGTAGCCGTTCCATCGAAGTTTTAATTTTTTAGGATGACATAAATGTGAGGGAGTCCGTGTAGTAGGCAATGCCTTTGAAGACCTTATTGAAAACTTTATGTAAATATAGCGAACATAAAATAAATATGTTACTGTAAATAAGTGAGTAGCATATATACATTTTAACAGTGAAATT